TGCCCCTGAGATGGAGCCTCGTATTTAATAAGGCTAAGTCTTGTTCAGATTAGAGCAAGACCATTCCTATTCCACTATCACTGAAACTTCAGCAGCAGTCCTGGATCTCTCTCTGGCACAGGCAGCCCTTCTGACATTTTTGCAGAAAAAGATAGTGTACGCAAGCCAACTTCAGGTTCAGGAGATAGGAGACCCAGGTTCAAGTCCCCATCTGATCCCACCCAGTTAAGTGATTTGGACTTGAGTTTCCTACATCCTAGACAATCATTATGACCATCATGCCCATGGCTTTTTCTACAGTAGCTTTCTCACTGTCTCAAAAAAAAAATGCTATCCTCTACTTAAGAGAGCTTTGCCAACACGGGTTGAATCCAAACTGATAGCACTTGCAGTGAAAAAGTTTAAGTTTTGATTATGTTTCTTTTGCCAGAATAGTTTGGTTGAACATTTTCTGACCATCCCTACTTAAGAACAAGGGTGCTGAAAAAAAAAGTGCTTAGATAAAATCCAGAGGAGGTAGCTTGGTGTTGCCTGCCTCTGTGTTGTGAGCTATAGAGTGGGGGGGGGGGGGGGGGGGTGAAAAGCTGCTGATGGATTCATGTTGTGCAAAAATATCAGCTTTTCCTGTGAAAGTTTCCAGCCTTGGTGGCTTGGGGAGATAAAAAGAGCTTAAATGTATGATCCTTTAAAATATGGTGACACGGCACTTGGGTGCTGTGAGATCTTTTTAAGGATGTCACACAATATTAGCACTGTTAGGTGTGCAAACACCTACCTATGATTCACAAGATCATCATGGACTACCATTGGTCTTGGGAGACCACGGAGATTGCACCTTTTGCTGGATTACTGGGTACCACCACAGCTTCTTAAGAGGCTGAGGAGTCCTCCGGCAAGTTGCACGTGCAAACTCAGTTGAGTTTGCAGTGGCCTGCTGAGTACCGTTTTGCCCTGCCTGCCTTTGACATCTCACTTCTAGCTCATCACTGACCTTCCCCATCTCGAAGAGGCATAGGCCTTGATTCATGGTGGCTTTCCACTTGCAGCAGTCTGAAGTGATTGATTTCCAGTGTTGGCCATCAATGAGCAGCTCGCAAAGGATTTTCTTGCAGACATCAACAAAACAGAGTTTGCGCCATCCAAGTGGATGTTTGCTGGCGGCCAGCTCGCCATAGAGTATGTCCTTGGGGATTCAGCCATCGCTCATACAATTCGCATGTCCTAACCAACAGAGACATCTTTATCTCAGGATCATGAACATATTGGATACCTTGGCCCCTTCCAGGACAGTGAAGTTGGAGATTATCACGCCATGTTATGCCCAGGATACATGGAAGATGGAAATGGATGGAAACTGATGCACAAGACAATCCCAGACTTTTCCGATAGGAATCCAGTGTGTCAAAACCATCTGACCTTGTGGGCTTTGAGGTTTTTTGCAGCAGAAGAATTGCTATTTTTCCATAGAGGGGGGAAGGAAAGAGTGAAAACTCAAAGCTGGCATTTTCTGGGATGCCTCGAGTCTAAGGAGGTTGAGAACTTGAGCAGAAATCAATAGTCTCATGGTCTCTGCTGAAATGTTTGAAATTTTTGTGTTGGTCAGCTTCTCTGGGCCTCACTTGCTTCTTCAGGTTTATCTTATGTTTTTTTCCTACATACTTGAGGCAACTGTCTTCCACCTTCCTGTAGCTTTCTTCTGGCTGTGCTTGACTATCATCTGAATAAGGCCCTGCCCTTCTTGTTGGAGCAAGAGGAAGGTAACACAAAGAACAGGGACGTAAGCCAAGTGTCAGAGCTGTCCTAGGGTTGTTGGTTGTAGCCGTGTTGGTCTAAGGACGTGGGCAGATGTAGTCCTTTGAGTAAACATGTTATCTTTTATTAGACCAACTGAATAGTTGGAAAAATTGTTCTTTGCAAGCTTTCAGCCACACCCTTCTTCAGGCAGAGGGAGGGTTTGCTGGTGTTTGCGTGCTCCCATGGGTGGAATAGGAGCCAAAAATAGAGCTGGTCCAGCCACTTGTGTCACCTGCAAAATGATCTGCGCAAGGGTCTCTCTGGGGATCGAGCAGAAAGACGAGACTTCCCTAGACAGCGGATTTAAAGTGCATCCAGATGAAGCTGGTCTGCTAATAGGTCTGCTTTAGTGATTGGATAATCATAATGAGGAAGTTCTTCCTAATCTCCAGCCTAAATTTCCTCTGTTGTAGTTTGAAGCCATTGATCCTAGTCCCGCTCTGTGGCTACAGAGAAAATGCATGGGATATGTGCCCATATACAGTGGTATTGGAGAAAACTAGCAATTAAATTCAGCTAGTGCTTCTGTTTCCCATTCAGTTGGCAACACCACTGCTCGGGATCTACAGGGAGGCCTAGTTTAATAGCCCATGCGCTGGAAAAGCGGAGCTGCTGGATACGGGAACGTCCCTGTCCGACCAAGAGAAAACATAAGATGGCAGTGTTGAGGCAGGAAATCCTGAACTGTTTGCTTTAAAGCTGCTTCTGATAACTCCTAGTTTATGGCCTTCCTTCACTCCTGGGAGGGGCTGTTTTCTATTATGTACGGAGTGAAACACAAGCCATGTTTTGCATCTGGTATTTAGTTTAAGCTGTACTTTGCTTCCTTTCCAGACCTGAAGAAGGGCACTTTGCACCTGAAAGCTTGTCTAACATCTCTCCCAACTGTATGGTTGGTCTAATAAAAATATAGCACCCCCCAAAAAAACCCTTATTCAGTGCCAACTAAGTTGTCTATCATTTGTCAACCTCTACGTGGATTAAATCCTTACTGACCTTAGGGAGTCCTACTTCTCTTTCCAAAACCCTGTAACAGCTAACATCCCAGTCTGTTCATTAGAGTTTGTGTTAATTGATCTTTTCTATGTTTTTCACGGGTAATAACTCTATACCATTTGAGTCCGTGGGGTGAATGTAATGGATGACTATTTGTGTCGAGCTTATGGCACATAAAGGCTGTTTGCAGGACAGCTTGCATTTCTCCAGCGAGAAGCTCTTGCAGGAGAGTTGTAGGGGACTGAAGCCACTACTACAATGACTGAAAAATGGGTAGACTTTCTGGGATGAGTTGGGAGCCCTGTCCTCTTGCTACTTATTGACCTTCTCGTGAGAATCTGTCCAAGATGCTTTGGCAAAAATACTGCTCCAGTTAGACGTGATGCCAGGTGACAAGGCAAAGTGAGAGCAGGTTAACATGAGCAGAGTACATGTGATGAATCTCTTTCAGTTTGGGGGGGAATATTTCCTGGGTTAGGTCTGTTACCTATAGTCCCTCAAACTGAACAAAATATACTGTGAAGCTGGTTTGCTAGGCAATGCTGCCTCTATTCTTGATCATAGGAAAGGGACTTTACAAGGTCATCTAATCCAGGCCCCTGCTCAAGGCAGGACCATCCCAGACTAATCCATCCCAGACAGCAGGGTAGTTTTGCACCTTGTAGACTAACAAAACCTGAGATGTAAACTATCCCAGCCCAAGTATCTGTCTAACCTGCTCTTAGGGGTAGAGTTGCCACATCTCTAGGCAGCCTGTTTCACTCTCGGAGTCAGAAAGCTCCTCCTAGTCTCCAACCTAAATTTCTTCTTGTGGCCATTTCTCCTAATTCTGTTCCCTGCAGCCCCAAAGAAACCCCCATCTCCATCCTCTCTGTAATTGTCCTTCCGGTTTTTGAATACTATTATCAAATCCCTCCTCCACACTAAATAACCCCACCTCTTTCAGCTTTTCCAGCCTCCACAATCATTTTTGTTGCTCTCCACTGGACTCTTTCCAGTCTGCCCCCATCCTTCTTGAAGCATGGGGCCAAGAATTGGTCTTGGTATCCCAGGTGGGGCCTTACCACTGCTGAATAGAGCAGGAGGAACCGGTGCCGTTGTTTTGCCAGTGACACCTCTGTTAACACAGTCCGACATTGGGGACCTTTTTGCAACCAGATCATGCTGGCTTGTGCTCAGCTCGTGGTCTGCTGTGATCACCAGGTCCTACTCTGCAGCGCTGCCACCCAGCCAGTCATTCCCTAGGCTGTGGTGGTGCCAGCAATTATTCTGTCCTAAGTGTAGGACTTTGCACTTGTCTTTCTTCGATCTCATCTAGTTAACAAAGAACCATTTCTTTTTTCAGTCTAGCCAGGTCATTCTGGATCCTATCCCTGCTCTCCAGAGGGTCTGCAACTCCACCCGGCTTGGAGGCAGCCACAAATTTGCTAAGTGCTCGCTCAATCCCATCCTCCAAATAATGAATGAAGATCAATATCAATTAATGAAGATCGATTAAACAATATCAGGTTCAGGAAAGACCCCCTCCCACCTAGATATAGGGCCGTTGATGACTATTTGTTGAGCATGATGTTCCACCTAGTTATGTATCTACCTTACAGTATTTTCATCCAGATGATGTGTCCTTAGCTAGTTATCGAGAAGGTTTGTGGGAGTCAGTGGAAAAAGCCTTGCTGAAGCTGTGGTATATCAATCCGCCGATCTCCTTGCAGTGAGGGGCATGGGGGGGAAAATGCTGCCCATCCCAAACAGTCAAATAGGGAACTGGAGCTCCCCAAACTATGAGATCATTAAATGTGGGTTTTTTGGTTTGCCATGAGGCTCTGAAGTCAACTGTTGGATCTCTTTCAAGTTTTTCCTTTGCAGTCCCGAGATTTTCATGGCAACACATGTTTCAGTGTGCGCTATGGCTTTGACAAAATCCTGTTTGGAGATTCTGGGAAAGCAGTTTTCTATACAGAAGGATAATGGCGAAGACTTGCTACTTCCTTCCTCCTTCCTATCAAACATCTCCTGGGGAGGTGGCCTGCCATGAAGCCAT